TCCATATCCGCCGCCGCCGCCCCCACCAAATGAACCTCCATAGCCGCCTCCACTAAAACCTGAAATGACAGAAAAATGGCAGGTTTTCTTTTGCAGTAACCATGGAAACAGGAACGCTTAGTAGGACAATTCATAAACATTTGGTGATGGACGTGTGACCTCCTACCTAGTGGCATGAGTCGTAATGAAATTCTTTGCCTCCCATTTTGCACCATTAATTATTAAATTTAAAATTTAATAATATCATTATTTTATCCCCGCTCATTTGCATTTGGAGTTCGCAGAAAACCACTACACTCCAAAACATTTTAATTCCAAATTTTAATGTTACTTTGTGGACAAAGCAGTTTGCTCGGTAAACGACTGCATTTTTTCTATATATTAATTGTATAATTTTAAATTTAATTAAAATTGAAGTTACATTTAACCCGGTGAAACGTTGGACCAGTTCATTCCCCGACACGTACAGATTTCATGAGGATAAAATTTGAACTTTGCACTCAATGTTGAAGCATGCATTTGTTACTAATTGAAAATTACTGTATTGATAAACCCATTACAGTAAAAGCAAATCAATTCAGCTTGTAATGAAACACAAAATATTACAGTAAAAATAATGTTTATTGGAAATGGATACACATTTCAGTTTTTTTAAGTCCCAGACATAAACAAAAATAACAATTTAAGCCGTGAATTTAAACAGATCACAACGTCATATTTGTTTTCTGTTGCTAAATTATTACAGACTGCGGGAAAATAATTGGAGCATGTGTGTAATCTGTGTCATGAATAATACAAATGGATGCTGTCTGAGAACCGAGTGCTGGGGGAAGTATCTAGCCCTAAGAACAATGACGTGACAGGCGGTTGGAGAAAATTTCATTACGAACTTCATATTTTTTACTCTTTTCCTACCCCTATTTTAATGAACTAATCAAGAGTGATTACGCGGACGGGGGAATTTGATTACAAACCGTGACGCTAAGAGACCACTTAGAAGAGCTAGACATAGATGGGAGAATAATATTAAATTGATTTTAAGGAAAAGGTGTGGAAGTGTGTGGCTTAGGTTATAGGGTCACTGATGGGCCTGATGGACACAGTTGAGATAACATAAAGGCGCAGAAATTTTTGATTAGTTTGACGACTATCAGAGTTTTATTTAAAGAGGACGCTACTGAATGGAAATTTGAAATGGTGTTAAATTCCGGACGAGGGAAGGGTAAAGTCTGACCGTCGTAGAATGGAACTGTTTTAAACAGATGTCACTTGAGACATCCCTTAAGCAAGGAATACCAACTTATGATACCCTTGATAAATGGCGATCAGCTTGTGGATTCTCATAGTCAGTTGTTGTAGACAGATTGAAATATTACTTCAGTGAGTTACTTGATGTACATGCACGCAGCTGATTGATGTAGTTAAGGAACTCTGCCGGACTGTTCGACCCAGAACATACTTCACATAACAATATTTGGCAAAAGAGTATATATGATATACTTCCTGTGTATCTTATATAACATCAAGGGAAAATAAGTGCTTCAAGAAGTAGATTACTTTTTGGGAAGATGATAGTTGCTCAGATAGTTAAGATAGTCCCCGCCTTTTACGAAACCCGAAAGTTTATCACCGTCCTCACAGTCCGTCACCGGTCTCTGTTATGAGTTACATAAATTGAATTCACACCTACAAACTCCATTTACCAAAGTTTTTTATTTATTTTTGTCTTATCCTCTTAACTACACCTAGGTCTTCCGAGTGGTCTGTTCACGTCAGGATTTCCAACCACAGTTGCCGACATATTTCTCACTCCCACGCGTGCTACATACACTTCTCCCCTCATATTTTTTTATGATTTGATGACTCTATAATATTTCGTGACGTTTAGAAACTATGGAGATCCTCATTATGCATTTTTCTCCACCCTCCTGTCACTTCATTCCCCTGAGGAACAGGGACTCCCCTTAGTACCCGGTCCTGAAACACCCTTAGCATAAACGAAAATTGCGGGTTAAAAATTCATAATTTATGGTGTAAGTTAGGTGTGTTAGACATTTTTGGGTCAGTTTACAAACTTCTTTTCTTTTATTAGCCGACTATAGAACTTACAAGTGTCTGGATATTGTTCGTTTATCTCAGAACGTTCTTTTTTTTATAATTACTGGGTCACTCAAAATTAATTACTGGTCCATGATACCTATTTTGATGACAAATGGTCAAAGATTTTTTTTACATTTATTAAGTTGGAATACTACTACATTATCGCTCTTTTACAAAGGCAAGGGAAATGTTCAAGTTCAGCTAGTTTATTTTTGATACGTGGTTTATGATTTGAGAGACGTACTTGCTTTTCACAAAGCGGCTGACACGAACAGGTATTTTGTCCTTGCAACTTAACTTTCTTTGGTGGAGGTTAAAAGGGTTGAAGGTAGAGATTTACTTCTGTTGTGTTAAGTGTGACTTACCGCAGAAAACTTGGCCGAGCGTCACTGTCAGTAACAGCATCACCACGTAGAGACCCTGTGGCAAGAAAAGTAACCGTGAGTGTACAGTGGTGCTAGGTTGTGTTGACGACTTGCCTGCACCTGAGGAGAGGGAAGGCGAGAGTGGTGGGGGTTAAGTACGACAATAAGCTGTGATGTCAGGAGGTTAGGTTGGTGGTAGCACCGCTCAGGTTCTGTCGGGATATATTAACCAACAATTAGCAGCTGATCTGTTATTGGTGGGATTTCAGGATTTAAGCAACTTAAAATATATTAAGAAGAAATACACTGTATGAACAACAAAGACACTTAAATGTAAGTGGAATATGTAAAATAGCAATAACTGACAACACAGTTCTACAGAAGCTGATAATCGCACAGCTTCTCAAGAACTTTCCCGTACGTTATGGAAACCGAATATTTATTACCGTGTTCACAAAAGCCCTATGCCTGTTCTTATCCTATACCAGATGATCCCAGTCCACACCCATCCTATTTTCGTAAGATCCATCTTAGTATTATCCTCCCATCTACCCTATTTTTTCAACTGGTGTCTTCCCTACAGGCTTCTCAGCTAATTTTTTGTAATAATTTCCTTGTGAGTGCTACATCCTCTGCCCATCTCAATATCCTAGGTTTGATCATCAAAATCAGAACGACTCGCTTCGAAATTACATACACAGCAAATTAGAATATAATTTTACTGTTTCATTTCCACTACGACAATTTCTATATCCGATTTTGCGTTTCAAAGTTATTGTTCGTTTCCCAAATTCCTGCCACTTGTCCGACAACAAGACAAAAAAAACGAGAGGTATTTGACGCGTGCGGCTTGCCAGGGTCCCTGCGTCTGACCTGTGAACACCTTCCTGTCTAATCCTTGCGAGTTGCGTGCAGATACGTACCATGATGGCGCTTCGTGTTGTCTGGTCGCTTCTTCGTGTCTGAGTGCTTTTATATACGCGATGAAACTGCGTAATTCTCGGCCTTTTGGTTGACCAACAGAAAGGTGAACGTGTGGGGCGGAGAAAGCAATCTGCGATAGTAAATGAGAATAAGCAGGGGGAAGGGGGGGGGAGAAGGAACAGAGAGACAGAGGAACAATGTCTCAATGAAAAGTGAATGTATCTCCTTGGTTCTAGACCGTTGACCTGTACCCAGCAAGTGATGTTGCATCTGAGTCTCGCTTGACGAGACGATGGCCTACATCAGTTCTGCTTGACCTGTGGAACAACTTCACTTGCTTCACAGCCAATAAGCCCCATTAATTTGAAGAGCTTCTGCGCTTCCAGAAGTTGTGGGAAAAGCGACCTAACGCACTCCCAACGAGTTCCTACCTACGTCTTTTTGTTACGGTTAAAATTTGACCCGGAATTCTTATAGCTTCTCGATGTATACTTTGGCTAAGAACTCGTCTTGCCAAGTGTGTACGTGTATGCGGAGAGTGCCTCGAGAAAACTTAAAAATGAAACGGGCAAGACGATTTATTGACACGTTATGTAGGGTTATATTCGAACCGCGGTCATGAGGTTATGTTTTTCCTGTACATGAATGTATAGTAGCATCCAGTGGGCTCAACTTAAAATAAAAGAAAACTTTTAAGGAAGTTAGGCTTCCAACAAAGTTCTCTGGGAAAATAATGTGTGGAGGTACTTCAGTCATTAACTCAGCATACTCAACATGACAGCATTAAAGTGCTGTACCGTGGGTTTCTGCCCGTGAAATTGAGGCTTAGTTCAGATATCAAAAGTTGGCTACCGTTACTGGGCGACTCACTGAAATAGCAGTGAAATCGCCCCGAAAAGACATTTTTTGCCCCTGAAGATCACGTGACGAACCGAAGAACTTCAGACTCAAGGTGCAGACCGAACGAAGCATTTTTATGTTTGTGGTGTTTATCAGCCTCAGTCCTTCAGAAATCAACGTTCAAAACATTAAAATCAATGCTTCGTAAAGATGCCCAGTAACGTAAGTTACTTTTCCGGATTTCCACAGTTTTTCCAACCGTATTTTCCACAACGTTTACTGTTTTCACTTACATAATGGCCACTTTCATCAACGATAAATAATCTTGGCACCTGAAACAGCGTGAATAAACAGGTAAGCGATGCATTATCAGTTCTTTAAGGAAATCCACTGTTTTAAGTTTCCTCTTTCCGTGAATTCATAAATTCAATTTGTAACAGTAATAATTCAAAAATGTCTTCGAAATGTCAACAGAAAAAGTAAACTGAAATTTTCGGTATAATGATCGCCATATGTGCTTCGTATCTTGAAGTCTGTACTTCTAACCTCGGATGGCAGGCGAGATTTCTCTTAATTATGTGACTTAGTTCAAGAAAATGTCTAAATATTTTAAAACAGGCAAATATCACTATTTTGTTTTTTATTCTTCTGTTGTGATGAGGTGAAAGTGTATCTATGGAACAGCTACCGCTATTTAGACCCTTTGTCCAACCCCCCACCCCACCCCACCCCACATGATACATACATGCATGAATATTTAGCAGAGCTGAAAAATGAGAGGAATCGGTGCCCTTTTGTCCACTATAAGTTCCATTTTGAATGAGATTGTCTCGAATCCTGACCTCTGCAACGAAAGAGCAGGCGGCTAACCGCCTGAGCTATTGCACGACCTACGTAGTCCTAATTCACAGATTTAAAATACGATATTTTACGCAGATTTTAAAATAAAGCGCTTAAAAATAATCATATTTCCGGTAAACAAAATGCTGAGAAGGAAAAAAATGCTCTTGGCACATTCGTCCATCATCTCCCTTCAAATGTCATGGTCAACAAGTTCGAAGGATACTCAATTACGTCTTTTTTTAACCTTGAAATCTTCGTTTAAGTACGTAAAATAACTGTAAAATGTTTTGATTCGTTCTGAAGGCTCCTGGATCTCAGCGTCCCAAGATTTCATCCTCATCTCGTAAAGAAACAACAAAAACTATGGCGAGTTTTCGGGTTCTCACGGCGACATCTTTTGAAGACGACTGTCTTATCGGATGTTGCGCCGTGTTGTCTGATAGAAGTTTACCGACGTTTCAGACGTCCTTGCTGCCTCTGTCAACAGGACAGTCGTCAGCAAGCATGTCTGAAACGTCGGTAAACCACTACTAGACTACGTGGCTTAATATTCCAGAAGACGGCCAGCTTGAAATTGTGGATATGTTCTTCATGTATTCAAGCATCATTTCGGTTGGTTGGACTTCATGTGCCGATTGAAAGATATATAAGTCGCCCGTTTATCTGTTGCGTATCTAGACGTAGATTGCCAAGTATTTTTTTAATTCTCTTGTAATTTAATGTGCGTTAGAACCTTTTCGTTCTAAAGCTTTTTATAGCCGTAAATATAACTGATGAATTAATTTTATTTCAAAATGGACAACATATATATATATAAGGAACTGTAACGAGGTAATGCTTGGTGGACAGTTACACGTTACATTTAATTCTGATTTAAAATGCAGGTGCTTGTTCAGTCCGATGGTACGAATTTATTTGGGAAATTTCAGTGCTGCTGAGACCACAGTGATAAATGGTTTACAGCGCAGCGTCCATGTGAAATGCTACTCCTATTTAAACTTCATGGCTTCTGGTATTCACTCTGTGTGAATTAGGACAGTGGGCTATATTAGACTTTGAAATTAATGACTGTGTTTCCACCGGTTTCATGGATGTGGACAAACTGCTTGGCGCGTGAACGACCTTTACGAGCGGCTCGTGGTTTTTTTCAGTTTTCGTTTTATAAACATTTATTATAATATTTTTAATCAAGCGATTCACTTCTTGAGGTCAGACGTGTTTTGAATGACTAGTAAAATAAACATGATTTGAGGTTTACAGGGCGGTGAGTCCGAAGATGGCTGTCTTCTGGATTGTAGCGCCGTGTGGTCTGGTAGACGTAAACCAACGTTTCAGAGGTCCTTCCTGCCTCTATCATCAGGGCGATCATGACGTCATGGCCGCTTTCTTCCACTCGTTTTGAAATTCATCATTCGCGGGCATCCCACCTTTCGACGGTGTATAAAGCACTTCATATCAAGTAGCTACATCAGGCAGTAATCAGCAATCTCTTCATGACTAAAGGAGAACACTGTGCTGTCATCTGATAATGAATTTTCCTACCCCTGTCACATAGCTTTATTCAGGCCTAGTGGTTTACAGCAATAATATGTTTCACATATTCTGATCACAGCCCCCTTACGTCCAGAAACAGTAATAAACATCGATGGTGTATTTTTTATATGCTGCCTCATTTGAATGGAGCGGTTTGAGGTTTTCTGTTTTGATGTGACGTTCCTCTAAAGTTGGAGTTTGCAACTTAATTAGTGTCTGGTAATTTTATTAATTTCCCTCTGTACGTTTCGAGATCAAACAGATTCCATATGAAGCATAGATGTGTATTTTTTTTAATAACAGACGAATTGGTAGCTGGTTGCTCTGCTCTGATGTAGAATTAGTGATAGTTACAAACACTGCACTACTAAGTATGCTTTGTAACAGTAAACAGATAATGCCATGTATCCTACGTGTTTTGTGAACGAAATGATAAAAGGGTATTCTTCTAACACCAATGCTTTGTCAATCTAGATTACTACGCCATACTAATATAATATATTTCTAGCCATGTTTTAAATTAACGAACGCAGAAACAGGCAGACATACGAACTCATTCAGTATTTTCCAACAGTGTACTAATTAAAATTAATTAAATTTTACTAAATTAGATATACATTGTCGTATATATTACGAAATAGATTAACAATGTTCTGAAGCAAACTCGATAAGATAAAAGATAAATATGTTAATACTTATTAATCATTTGAAACACATAACACTAAAAAATTCATTTGCTATCTTGAAGAATACACAAAACTTCTCCATGACAACGATCAGTTGGTTAATTCTGTTAAAGAAAATAATCTCTGATTGTTCCGATAATAATACGGAACCAATAAATACGAAATATAAAATTTGGTCTGAAATGGGTCTTATCCAATCCACCCATCACATTAGGCTTTGTATTTTAATCTTCTGATACAAGCAAAACTAGCACTCAAGGGGTTAAAACATTTAGACGAGTTTCGACTTCACGTGGTTAATAGGCATAAGTTTCGCTTCAGTTAAAATCCTTCCATTTGCACGTGTGGTGTATGTCTGTCTGTCTGGAAATGGTAGGTTCTGAATCAATGGAGCGTCATAATATTGATGAAAATCCTGAACAAGATCAGTCATCTGTAAACCATGATTGTAGTATGTGAACAGACCTGCAGGGAATCTGCTGACGTTCTGCAGTGCAGTCAGGTCAGGTCACGTATAAGTCCCACAAACCAGTGGACCGTGTACCACCTCACGTTCAGTCCCACACATAGAATTAAACACGCCAGCATGACAGACGTTCATGATCGCCCTTGGTTGCATTTGGCTTCTAGCGGTGTTAATATAAATACATAAGACTGATGCTTTTTAATTTATGACAAACGACGCTGGATAAGAGTAGTGGAAACTGAGCCAAAGTGTGCCATGTGTGCCAATTGGGTTGGCACCAAGATCGGAGACAAGAATGTACATGTTTATAGTACTCCAGTGAGGAGTATATATTTATCAAATGAAAATATCTTTGCTAATTACATACCTCATTTGCTGCGATGTCAGTTTATAAAAGTAAAGTAAAGCTGTCCCACTATACGCCATGTAGTCGCTTGGGGGGAGTGGAGGTATAGCTCCTACTCATTCTTAACCTCGGCACTAGATGGGGGTGAGTGTTTAGCAACACGCCCCGGCCGGCTTTACCCCCGGGAAAGGACCCCGGTACCCATTGGATAGGAGGCTCTGCCCCCGTCCGGGATCGAACCCCGGTCGCCCAGTCCGTAGCCAGTCACTATACCGACTGAGCTACGCCGGCTCATGATGTCAGTTTATTGCAGATACAAATTTACTCTTGTAAAGTTACAAATTTGAAGCCCAGTTATATAATGTGATACTTCT